TATATTTTAAAAAATAGATATATATAACATTATAATTACACCATCTTAATTTTTTTAAATAATAAAAAATTAAGATCAACGGTTCAATCCTCCAATTAAGGTCCCAAACATTAGAAGAAAACAAATGGAACCCGAAAATTTTGCAAAAGAGAATTTTGCTTTTTTCTTTGGAAAGGATGGGAAGCCCCGCAGTTCCTTGTAAATTGTCTTTCGTACACTTTTGACAAAAATATACTTAATATTTTCCGCACGAAAAACAGGCGTAAGTTGCTTTTACGAAATTAGCAACACAGAGTCAACATAGTTGAAACCCTCCCTCCACACGACCCCATCCCCCTCTCTCTCTTTCCTTTATATGAAAAACCTCCCGCATCTACCACCACATCATCTCTAAAACTCCGGCAATCGCCACTCTGATCTCTTCTTACTCTCAGTGTTTTGCTTTAGTGTCTTTGTTTGTGTGGAGGATGAAACAGGGGAATCTGGAAACTCTGGTATCAGCATGTGCTGGCGGTTCCTGCGATCGGAAAATCGCTTGTGAAACGCTAGCTACGGCTCAAGACCAGGTCGGCCGGGAAGGAGTCCCGCAGGAGAAGGTGGAAGAAGAAGAGATCCCTCCGGATTTTCCGCCTGAATCGTTCTGGCTCTCTAAAGACGCGGAGTTGGATTGGTTCGATCAGAATGCGTTTTATGAGAGGAAAGAATCGCAGAAAGGTAACTCCGTGTCGAATTCGGCGAATCTTAATCCCAATCTGAATCGGAGCTCCAATTCGAGTTCTCAGCGGTTCTTGAAGAAATCGAAAGCTTCCATCATCGGCTTGCCGAAACCGCAGAAATCTTGTTATGTTGATGCGAAGAACTGGAGAAACAATAAGGCTGGGAGCATTCGGTTGTTTCCTAAACGATCTGGATCTGCTAACAAATCTGACGCTGGTCTCGTCGAACCGTCATCACCGAAGGTTTCTTGCATGGGAAGGGTGAGATCGAAGAGGGACCGGAATCGCCGATTAAAGAACCGCCAAAAATCAACCAAATCGGAAAAGGTCAAAAAGGATACAAAGCCGGAGCGAAGGAGAACAGGTTTCTTTTCGAGTTTTCGTGCCATGTTTGGGTCCCATGGGAAATCGCGTGAAACGCACGCGCCGCCAGTGGAATCGCCTTCAACAGGCAAAACAAGCGATATCAGGAAGCGTTTGCCGCCGGGTGATTCCGATGCTGTACCAGTGGATTCCTCGTCACCGCCGAGAACTAGCATAGAGGCGGTAGGTCTGGGCGGAATGAAGCGGTTCGCGTCGGGTAGGAGATCGGAGCCGCTAATCTGAAGCATGGTATCGGCTCGGAGGGAAGATTTCGTGTGTGAGGGGGAAGAGGGCTCGTGGTGGGGCCACAGCTGAGAGGAGTTGGTTTGCTTGCAGTCGTGATTGGGCACTTGTGGACCCCGCTTTCTCGTTCAAATTTCCATTGGGCTGACGTGGACATCGTGAAAACGGTTCCGTCCTTGGAGGTACAACAAAGGAATAGTAACTACCGCTTTTTTCTCCACGTCTTTTTTTTTTTTGTATTTTAGTTTATAGGATTTTT